TTGTTTGTATATTTTAGAACCATATCTGGAGATGTACTAACTTGTTTTGATTCCGTAACGATTGACCATATGGAATAAATATACGATATGACCAGAGTACGCGTTTCTAGTTGGTGGCGTAAGACTGTAATACCTGTGGGAGCTTGTGATGCCTACAATCACTTTACTAAATAAGTAATACAGGTCGCTAGTCACTTGAACCAGCAAGAAATGGCGATATACAGTAAATGAATGAAAGCAGAGACTTGATAGTTGTTGCAGGGAACATTCTCCGGCAAACAGCAATGTATAATGTCGCCTTCCTTCGTTCTTGACAGACTGCCGAAGTAGCTTCACTACAATTTAAATGTGTGCTCTATGTTCAAGGAGTGTTGGCAACAGCACTGCTATCTGCTGATACTAGTAGCGCCGGTACGACTGGAGTATTTTAAGCAGTGAGATTCAGTTGTTCCTGATGATCAGCAGGGATTACTGCACAGCACGTCTGCATATATATACCCCTGTATAGGGTACAGCTCACTACAGCATCACATGATATTACAGGATCAGTCAGGTCACCTTTCTGACTACTGGTTTTCACATATGTTAAATAACAACTGAATGAATGTATTCAAAGAAATGATTGGTTATCTCGAAGTAGCGGACAAATCTGTGTAATAGAGTATGCCAATTTTCGTAGTGGAATAAACTGCTTTTTATAAAAGCTCCGCTACCAATTTAAAATACAGGTCAAACGTTTTGTCATTGCCAACAACACTGGGTTCCGCTCATCCAAGGTATTTCACAATTACCATGTGACTGTCTGAGACATACCATTATGTCACGAGTTCTAGTGACAACACAGCCCAGTAACTGTACTCCAGTCTAAAAATATACATATACAATGGGCTTTTGCTAAGTATCGAAACACGTGTGTTATTCATTCATACATTCTGTTTTCTGAAAGGACTTTTCACTTATAATGTATGTCACATTATATTGGGAAAATAGCCAGAGTATGTTGCTGACGAATGTATGAAAAAGTAACGACAACTTTGAGACGAAGACATCGTCGCAGCCATCCAATACGACAATCGCAATGAAATATTAACAGAAAGTCATAAAAACAGCATTGGACACTTTTTGAACTTTAATATTAATTTTAATAAAATAATAGTTCAAGTCGGAAAAGTGTGTTTGGAGGGATTGTTACGACCAGATACTCTCAATATAACTTCGACGAAGGTCGTTCGAATCGCCATCTTGGTATCACATGACCAAATTCACATTACGAACACATATATACACATAAAAGAGGAAAGTTCTCGAATAATGTCGAAATAAGCTGCATAAATTGCTACAAGGTTCACAGGCGCATAAATGATGACAATTTAAAATCGGGAAAAGACACCAACGATGTTATGACGTCATTGGTTTCACTCCACAAGCAAAACGCACGCTGTTATCAGCCATCGAGGGATTAACACCTTAGAACAAAGGCGTTTCCCAGCCGCTTGTTGAGGAATTATATATATACACACGCGCATGTTTCTTGCCATTGATAAGTGGAACATTCCATTCTGTAAAGCAGCAAAGCAATTGGCAGGAAAGGTAATTAGTAATTAGTATTTTCCTGTGGTATATCGGGTATTTTAGACCGGCTTGCAAAACTGTGCATAAATTAAACCTACCTCTCATCCAGTAACAATCGTGCATTACCAGGCGTGACGCACTATAAAATACTGTTTCACTCAGTATTGATATACTGTATATTATAGCTGACGTTATGGAGACCCAGTATAAGTTCATCGTAGTGTTGGTGATAGCAACGGTCGGATGTTTTATCGTCACACTGAACAATCATCAAAATGATTTAACTTATGAATATCGGTAAGTATAATTATGTCCAAATAAGGACACTAACTCTCTAACACAAATTGCTCTCATGTATTATATTAATTATAGCTAAACTCAGAACAGCGTTTGTATGTCCGCTTTCTATTGTTATATGTTTGTTCTCTTATTGGTCTGTGTGCCAACATCGCGTGCACTACGCCCAACATTCAGGTCATGCAAATGGAATATGTATGTAATCATGGTCACTCATTGAATGGTCGTGCTGTAGTGTGACCGACCTTGTCCGCCGTTGTAAAATACTACTTTACGATTATAAAAGCCTAATTTGTTTTTTCCAATTATGATTACGATGGCAGTGTCATTTTCATATCCGTTATTTTGATATGTTTATCTTAATTGTCGACCAAAGACTGTAGTGAAAACAATATATTTCAAATCGACAATTGTGTTTCGCTGTCATGTATAATATAGCAAAACTTCTGAAAAACATAATCTTCATTGTTTGACTACTACAGATACTAGTTACTGAAGTGTTTCACCAGGCACGACTCATTGGAATAGTGTACTTTGACATTTGCTTACATTGTACAAAAGTACATCGTTGTTTAGCATAATTTAGTCATTCGGAATGATACCATACCCTGCATGCAACAGATGTGCGCAACATATTCAATTAATAGTGTACTAAAAATCCTCCTTTCACGTTAAGAACACCGCCTACTTTTAATAATTTTTTATAATACCAGTTATAAAAAAAAACAAAACATTTCCTAAATAAAATTAATAAATAAATAACTATAAGTTGGGGAAAATAACCTCTGAAGGGTCACTGCTTAAAACAAATAAAAATGTCTTCAATGACTTTTTAAATTTTTTTAAATAGTCGTTAACGGCTATTTCGATGAGGAGATAAATAACGGTTTTCTAAATTTGAATAACAATATTGGATTTAATGCCGACATGTGTTCATTAGGATCGAATATAATGAATTCAAAAAATGTATCATATGCTGGGGTAAAACATAGCTTTGAAGTCAAGGTTCTATATGAATAATAATTTACCTAATACAATTTTGGTTTGTAACAGGTATTCAAAGTCACCACGTGTCTTGACGGACGGAAACAAGAGCAGTGTTCGTGTGCTGGTTCTAGCTTCATACAGAAGTGGTTCGACATTCGTCTCAGAGCTCTTCAGGCAAAATGAGCATTTCTTTTCTTTGTTTGAACCGGGTTATGTTTTGGCGGCATGCTTGCCAAATAACGAGAAGAAGAAAACAATATTTTCAGTCAGGATAATAGAATTGCTTCGGGATATTTATACGTGTGCATTTAAATCGTTGTATGCACGCTGTTACGTTACCGCTGGATCTGGAGGATTTAGTGTCAAAAATGCAATGTCACGAACATCGGGACTTCAGGAAATTCATGTAGACGACGTCATTGAATACTGCAACAAACGTGAACATACTGCAGTGAAAACCATACGAGTGAAATATTTGAATGACGTAGTGCCTCTCATTCGCGACTCAGACGTAAACTTGAAAGTATTACACCTTATAAGGGACCCGAGAGGAAAGTTCTCTTCGATTCGGAAATTACACAAAGGTCAATTTACGTTAGAAAAAGTGATGGAGATGGTAAACCAATATTGCAATGTCTGGGCTAGAAATATAGCAGTCGGAAATGACGCAAGAACGTGGTTACAACATAAATATAAAACTATCAGATATGAAGATTTGTCGCAACATCCAATCACCACAGCAACAGAAATATATCAGTTTTTAGGACTGGAACTGCCAGATAATGTACGTAGTTGGCTGCACGATAATACTGCCCACACCAGTGACGGGACGTTTGGTACAAGTCGCAATTCTAATATTACATCAACAGCTTGGAGAAATAATCTTTCTTTTAACGAAGTACAACAGGTGCAGTCATTTGGGAGTTGTCAACAAATGATGAAATGGGCAGGTTACAAAATCGCTAATAGTCATGAAGAGATGATGAACCTGAATGTGAGTTTGGTTGTACCTAATATTCAATTAAACTGGACTAGTATAGGTACTAGCCCCGAATATACATATTCACACTCTGTCAAATCTAGATGGATCGGAATCATATAGATTAATGTAACACATATTTTCCGTGAAAATTTACGTTAAATCATGTAAAATATGCGGTGTTGACCATAACTGGGCTAAATGTGATTGTCCAATGTTAGGTTTATTTAAGGCACATTTGCAACCGTTTACATTATCCGTGCAAGACGTGTCAGCACGGAGCATGATAGAAATTGGTGTATTTGTTAGAACATGGTTTCGAGTAAACAATTTGTAACGCTCAATACTTTCATTTTTTCGAGTTACATTTTTTATCAAAGGCTTTGATTGAGTCTTCTAGTTTGTGATCCTTTCCTTCCTTGTAAAATGTCATTGTTTCATATATTTATTTTTCATTGTATCAACGAGATAAAATATAAACTAAATTGTATTTTTGTCTTCACGTTGGTGTGTCAGTACTTACGCGATATAGTTTATTTACAATCTTTTGCATACCGCTGCTGAATTCTAGTCAAATATATTATTAAGTTAATCCGGTGCTCATGTGTTCCATAATGCAGGTTGGCTATATAAAGTACTATAACAAGTGTGTGATTTACTTTTTCACATATCTGCACTGTTTAGCAGCGCACACAGTAATCATGGTAAACATTTTTCACAAATCTTTCAATTCTTATTATTTTAATTACGTCTCAGAGTTTAAATTTTCCTGCATTTATGTTACTCACTGTATTTTCATGTCACGTTGCTGGTATTAAATTCATCAAGGTTCTTTGCAAAATCAGTCAGTCAGTCACATGCAGATGTTCAGCGTTTCTCTTTGTTTGAATTCTGCCTCGGCAGGCTATTTTAATCAAATGTGCTGTTTGTTCAAACGCTCGATCATACATGCACTTCTGAGAACATATTTCAATGTCAGAATATTCTAGAATGTTTATTATACGTTATATGCTTTTGCCGAGAGTTTAATAAAGTTCGAGCTTGTGGCGGTGGCTTCGGCTATTAACGACCATTAGACTGAATTATCGTGTTGTGTATGTTTATCGGACCTATAGTTGACAACAACAGAACTATCACACTATTATAAAGAATTAGTGTCTGCAACTTCATCACAACGTACCTTGGTGAATTTTCTTGGTTGGGTCGTTGACTGTTTAGTTTAAAATGTTGTCTACGAATATTTGGCATAGTAGTTCCAGTCCCAACATCCCTTACAATTTTTGTCTGCAAAATTATCCATATTTTACTATATAGCTGGGGGGGGGTCTTACGCTGTGATTATAAATACTGTCGTACTATATCAAATTGGTTAAAACTTTTGAATAAAGACAAACGAAGACGAACTTACTACAAAAGCTACGAATTTCAATATGCTATATAGATTCAAAGGTTATATTATTATTGCAATATTATGGGTTTGGAGAAGTGTGATTGCAACAAGATGTGGATAATGTGTACGTGTTTTTTTAACGTTTTCAAACAACGCTGTGTAGATATTGACAGCCTAAACTCAGAGCCGCTTTTAATTAGTAGATTCCGCACATCTGCACGCTCGATCGAAGCTGAAACCGGGCGCTGTGACAACGTTCCGAAGACAAACAAAATGTGCCGTTTTCATATTTATTATTTCGTCTTCTACAGCGAACCAAATTATGCGACAGTGTTACATCATAGTTCGAGGTTTTATGGTACTGATGCTGAGTGTAAAATGTAACTCGACCGTTGCTACCACTAGCAGTACGATACACTTATACCGTGTTTCCATAGCGTTTATTACAACGTTCCATGCACCATACATCAATAAACAGTGATACAGTACAATTTATACGTAATATACACAACATATTACAACTACTATACAAGTATCATATTATCGTGTATTTGGTTTCAATGTAAAACATAATCGCACGCTGTTATGTACATCCAATAAATATAATAAAGCTTTGTGATATGTGACAGGATAATTATATCTATAGTTTTCATAGCATAGCTAAGATTTCTTCCAAATATCATGCACACAGTAACGTGGCCATAGACCAGTTTATATATTGTAACAAAATGTTGTATTGTAACTGAACTGAGACCTGATCGATAAAACGATCAATAGCGTACAATAGGTAATTCTAAAACAACGAAGCTGATCAGAGGAATTGCCCCGTATGTGAAGGGCCACTGCTTGCCCCATATGCGAAGGGCCACTGCTTGCCACATATGCGAAGGGCCACTGCTTGCCACATATGCGAAGGACCACTGCTTCCCACATATGCGAAGGACCACTGCTTCCCACATATGCGAAGGACCATTGCTTGCCCCATATGAGGGCATATGCGAAGGACCACTGCTTGCCCCATATGCGAAGGGCCACTGCTTGCCCCATACGCGAAGGGCCACTGCTTGCCCCATATGCGAAGGACCACTGCTTCCCACATATGCGAAGGACCACTGCTTACCCCATATGCGAAGGGCCACTGCTTAGACGAGTAATTTCCCATGCAAAAAAATCCCCCAAATTTAAACCCTGGGAGTTATTTATCCAAATTTACCACTTGGTGGCGCCCTTTACCAAGACAATTAGTTGTAGAATTGGCAACATACACACTCAGCATAACACCAAATTAGATGGTAGGCAATGCATATAAGCCTGATTATTAGATGCAGTACTGTAAAGTATAATGTCATCATTCACCACATACAAGTACATACCAACATTTGGCATGATTATGAATTATAGAATTATGACTATTAAAGTTTTAGCACTATATATAACCTATACTAGTATATAAAATATGTTTTTGAAATGCAGTCCCTCACCCCTTCGGATATTTTCGCCGATTTTTCGTCGCCGGAGCAATTCACGTCCCAAATTTTGATTCTCCGGGCGTCTCTAATAAATGCCCTATCTAACCGCTGGACTGTATTAGCTATATTATGAACAATTCATAGAAGATTGGGTGAAAATCGGTCGTTTTTGGCCTCAATCGGTCGTTTTGGTTCAGAAACGCAAGACTCGATTATCAAGAACGCAAGTCGCTCGGATCGGACGGTTTCTATTGTTTCGAGTCTGTTGTGTATCTAAAAAACATTATAACTTTGTTTTTTGATGAGTATAGAACATGCTCTGTTCCAATAAAGGATTTTGATATGCAAATCGAACAATTTTAATAGTTCCTTATTGTAACGTCTCCCATATAAATAGTCCTCTACTCCCCAGAATTTGACAATGGTACTAGCCCAGAATGGACTTCCTTATCCGCGCGTCTTTGATTGTAGCAATGTTTACGCCACTGTACGAAAATACGCACACTCGCGAATTTGACAACATTCACTTGAGCGTGTTATGATAGTGGGAATAGAAGCAAATAGATGGAAAGGCCAGTTACGTCACTCATGAAGATTGATGATTCGATTGCTGGCCGGGATAGATGTATTTTAGTGTTCATTTCTATGCAATATGTCTACACCTGCGATTCTCAATTTCGATGTGTAAAATCATATCGCTGCTGTGGACGGCGACGGCTGACAGCTTATTTTGGTTCTGTGGCTCTCTTGGCATGGGCAACTGATTTTAGGCTTCTGGTTTTTTTTAGCATTCTGACGTTTACTTGGTCGTATTTTGTATATACCACTCTGACAACAAGTAAGTAAACGGGCCAGGACATAGTCAACATGGGACTCTGAAGGCCCCGGAGAAAGCGTCATCGTACAACATAATTATGAACGAAATGAACATTACAATCTCATGCTTCCGAACAATTCGATATTTATGCTGGATAACAAAGTATACAAGTACTGTCTACGATATACTGTAAAATGGAAATAACATACCTATTTAACCGTTGTTGATTTTTGTAGAAAATTCCAAGAACACAAAATAAACAATCGACAAAACAAAAACACTACACAGTCACATCAGTAAGAAAAAGATACTGTGGAACTCATTGAAAATGTAAATACAAAATAAATGCCAAAGAATATAATATTTATTAATTTGCAGCCTCAAGTTCATAGTCTCTAATATTGCAAAACCGTTAGTTGTGAACTGAAATTTAAATCTCATCAGGATTTCCACATGAAGTTACACAGATAGAAAAAAATGCAATATTAAGACAAGAAAAAATAATGCTTTTTTGTCAAGTCTATATACTAAATTCTCTTATTTTTGTGGTAGTTTTGTAAGTGTACATGTATGCATTAAAATTAACAAAACCTAAAATCTAATCAAATGTAAAGTAAATAAAATTATCGAGTGATTTTGGATTTGTCTGGAAAAGTAGCCGAAATGCTGTGACATTGTCTAATTGGTGGTGGGAATTGCCAAGCCAGTTTATAAAACAAGCCGGTAGGCTGGTTGGAGATCCGCTCCCCTAAAAAAACAAGCAACATGTTTTCGGCTGTTGCCATGGTAGGACATGAACGTGAAGCTAACGTCGGTTTATAACTAAAACCGGGCCCCGTATACGGAGTTCGCAAAAAAACATTCAGTCTTTAGAAATCACGTTATTTTATTGCTAGGACGTATTCTGCTGTTAAATTTATTATTTCCAACTGTTTTGTGATAGTATTTTCTAGATTGAACGCAGCATTTACAGTTCATTCATAGTTCAAAGTTGCTTTGGGATTACGTTGATACAGTGTATCAATGGTGGCGCCGGTGATCTCTTGTCTGCCAAGTTTGAGGGAAATTGGCTAAGGCAAAAAAATCACAGAAGAATTAATACGTGAAATAACTGGCAATCACACACAAAAGTGATAAGTTTTAAGGGCAATCGTAGCGGAGCGGATCGCCAATAGTGAACACAAATTTTCGTAAATATTACTGACTACAAAAGACGCTCATCGCGAAGTGTCTTGTTATAGATACTGCATATAGATATCTGCATTTAGGCCGGAGGCCGGAGACCTGTGACGGGCAACCTTCAGTGGATATACCTGTCGATGAGAGGGAGAATAATCCACTATTATTTCCCTAATTATTACTGTGATATTCGTTTGTATTATTGTTTCAATATTATTCAATTGTGTTTCAGTGCTTTCTTACATTGTTATTGTGTTTAGATCGTCTTTATTACATGTTCAACTCGAAGAGAACTAGCACAAATAACGATAGTAGACGCCATTTCAAATGATATTCTCTTATTAGCCAATCATAGCTGATAGTACTATGAACCAATCAGCACAAAGCCGCTAAAATTTGTTACGGTGGCTGATCCTACCAAGGCTATAAAAGGCCTGAATACTTGTTTTAACGCGCGAGTACATGTAACCTTTTTTTCCATAATAACATGCAGTTTCTTCATATCGTTTATTTGTTTCCTGTTCCTTTGATCGACAGTCCCTTTGTTTTACGCGCCTTGAACTTTACGCTCGTTAGGGTTGAGATAAGTGTGAAGGGTCTAGATATAAAATACCCATATTACACATCCCTGATCAAATTAGATTCAAATCAACAGCATTTCTGATTAATTGGGGGAGGGGTACAAGCACTGTTCAATAATAAACTCAAAATGGGATTAGTTAGCAAACTATTCACACAAATTCTGAGAAAAGAGCAATAATTGTGAAATTGAAAGAGATGTAATACTTGGCTAATATACTGGCAAATCTCTTGTCAGTGGCAAGATACGCAACACAATTTTGAAAATTTATTTGAATATTTGGGATTTTGACCTCAATAAACTTTGAATAGGGTACATTAGTAATGACCGCACTAAAAATTGTCTGCCATAATGTGAAAATAAGACAAAAAAACCATAAAATGGGGTTAAGCATTTTTCTCAGAATTCCTAGAGCCATTGAAATTAGTGACATGAATAATTCATTGATGAATGAATGACATTTTTGGACCAGTTTTATAAAAAACATTTATATTTACAGATCAAATTAATAAAATTAGGGCAACAAATATGCCGAATTACAAATTTTCAAAATCTTCAACAAAGATATAAGAGTTTGACAGCAATGGGTCAAACGCATAGCAAAATATGACATTTCTGGATAAAAAATTACTCCATTGTGTCTAAATAGTTGAATACAAAGCAAGTGGTAAAATAAAAATAGATTCCCAGTTACTTTGCACTACACCTGCCAAATAAATGGAGCTGATCTCATGTGTGATTTAACACTCAACCTCATAATTATCAGATCTATGCAAAGTCGAGAGAGGTCAAAACTTATAATAATTAGGTCAAAGTAAACTTTGGTTATGTAAGATGAGACCTGCCAAAAATGACTAAATTCCAGTGAATAGAGCCATAATTATGGTCAAAACAACAACCTCAGGTGGTCCTAGGCAAACTTCAGGGCTCATACCACTAACTGAAACTCCATAGACGACAATGTTAACATATGATTATGTTATGAGATTGCTATATCATGATGAAAATGGTGAACAAAGTTGAAAACATGGCTCAAAATGGGAAATCAACATGCCAGTAATCAACCACATGAAAAAAAAAACTAACATGTTGACCAGCTCAAACTCGCCCTCATACAGGAAGCACCTGAGAAAAAAAATATTTAAAAAATGTCATTGGTTCTCACAAGGCATTTAAATTGCTACGAGCAGCATTGGTTGATTAGTGGCATGAGACCTGTGTGAGACCCATGTCTCGCGCATGTATTCCGCGACGAACACCGCCTTTAAACTGTATAAAATAAAGTTTCCAATATAGTTCTTGCATATCTTTTAACAACATTTTGATACACCAGTTTCAGTAGATTTTACCACCATTCTAATTTTAGTATATATAATTAATTCAGCTACTACGTGCCCATTTACCATCACGTGATATTTTTCAAATACTAATATTTCATTATTTTTTGGAAGTCAATATAAATAGCTGTAGCAACGATTGTCGGATTGTTTTGACATGTTCAGATATTCCTCGTATTTCCTCTTAAAATGACGTCAGAACTATTAACAGAAAACAATCCTGATAAATGTAAAATACTTATATTATTTTACTGGCTTCTTATGGGGCGTGCTTATGAAAATTCAACGGAGAATTATCACAGCTGTTTTTTCTGGCAGGGTTGTACGAGGATTATAACCACTTTTCACTCGTTTACCCAGTCATTTACCGCAATTATTACAATACCTAATAGAGGGCGCTTTACCCGGGAATGTCAAAGATCCATGGGAATTATGTCAAATCTAAGTTGTCAGTCTTCAAATTTATTAAAATAATAATGTATACAGTTGAATACTTATTGTGATTTATTTATTTATATACACATAATAATATTATTATAACAATATTGTAATCGTATTAAATTACGTAATGTATATTCATGTAAAGTATCCAATGTCTCTAAACAATGACGTCATTCTATATCGTTGTCATGAATATGCATAAGGTAGCGATCCAATCACATGTCCAATCAATTTCCGGTTTTCCTGTGGTATTCAATCGTTCTTCACTGAAACTTGATTCACAACATTCACAATGGCGGCGGTCCGGAGAACTTGCTTGTTGGATTTCATAACGTTTTTACTCTGTTTTTTGTTTCTACAGCACCGAGGTGAGTACCTGATTTGTCTCAAACTGTTTGTGTGCACACAATGACTGTAAGTTTAACGCTGTAATGCGATTGTCGGCTCATCTGCCGGGTATTTGGTCGGGAAGCGGATAGGACGATAACGCTAACGTTTATTAATCGTTGTACCCTCTGTGTTCTGTGTGGACTGCGCGATTTATGTTTTCTTCGTTTGTCTGGGTTCATTTGTTAGTAGTCGTTATGTCAGCTACGTGATCGTTAGACCTATTGTGGGTGGATGGCATTCTTAAAGTAAAACAGCGGCTGTCCTCCCTCCATGTTGGATCGCACTTGGCCACACACATTGGCTTACTAACGCTGGGTCTGAGTGAGTAGAAATTCCGGAAGGAACTTGGTCACAGTTAGTCGTTATTTTCTCTTGTATCGGAGTTTGTTCTATGGGCAAATGTTCATGTGATTTTTGTAATTTATAAATGCACTTGCACACGATTTCAGTTTAATCGCGTTTCGCACCATAGTGCGAGGATCCAGGAGATCATTGAGGATGGATGGTGTCTGTAGTTAGGTCAAGGTTCGGGCAAGTATTAAATGAGACTGCCACTGTGAAATTATCTCATGTTTTACACATCAAATTCACATTCCTTTGTGATTATAAAACCATCAAACATACAGTATATTGAAAAAGTCTATCGTTTTTTTTTTTTTTAATATTTTTTCATGTTTCCTTTCCCTGACATACAGTGGCTACTCCTAACCCCTTTTATGTGTTTTTAAAATTTCCTTCTAGTTCAACATTGGTTACGTAATCTTCAAGTCATAAACATAATGGTAGAACCCTTGCTACAGTCACCGTGATTGACTGTGAGACCTTTTCTCTGGCTTTTAAATAGAACACCACTTGATTCGTCAATACTCCTATTTCATAAAAAACAAATGCTTCCCACTGGTTGAAAATTTAACAATATAACTGTTCACTGCTTTTATGTACATAATACAGCTAGTCATAATCCTTCAATAATGTATGGCCGAGAAATTTTGGTCAATAATGTATAGTTACCTCTAAAATTACTACTTTGTTTTATTGAGTACTGTAGAATACTTTATTTCAGCTGGAATTAATTTTCGCTAAAAAAGATTGTTGGGTGTTTTTGTATGGAATTTATTTTCACTGATTTTTCATGAGTTGAATGTGAGACATAGGAAAAAAGTATATTCGCTGGATTTTATTTTCACTGAAGCATTCCTTCAGCGAAAATAAATTTCAAGCAAAAATAAAGTATCTACAGTATCTGAAGGTGACAATGTGACTGTTTATAATACTGAGTGATATTTGTCAAGAGAATTGAATTTTGTATTTAAAGGGTGGTGGTTGTTGCACCACACGTGAGCGATATAGGTCTTGTATTAACAAACATGGTAGCTGTTGTGCAGACCAGAGAGTACAAAGTGAGATGTTACCAAGCTTTAATTAGGTATCGAAGAAGACACCGACAGTAATTAGTGTGAGACACGCCCAGGTCAAAACGTCAATTAAAAGAGCGCACGGGATTGTGGTATAATCAATGTTTATCAACACAAATGTCGCTCATGCCCTGCGCGATGACCAATGCCCTTTAATTAGAGATGCTACAAGGCTTGAACATCAAGGCAACAACAAATCTGTATTTTTCTGATGGGCCTCAAGGCAAACTACTTTGGGAAGTTCAAACTGAATTTATTATATGTCATGTTCACTGTACTTTTGTTATTATGGGTTCATTCCATCAGGATACCAAAAATAGGGCTCATCAAACAATTTTTCAAAATAGAAGAGTCTAAAATGAGAAATGGTCAAAATTGGTATTGGTTTCTGTGGTACAATTATATCTCCATGTCTCAAAATTTTTTCTCGGTGATCCGGTCTGAGACAAAAAAGTCGTATATTATAATTTTCATGTTCCTAATATTTTAGAAAGTTGACATATTATAATTTAGTAAATTTCCAGGAGAAATAGTGGCATGAACAGTAGTGCAATATGTTAATCGCCTCACACTGCCTGAAGTTTGAGCTTTGACAATGTAACTGATAGCGGAACTCATCAGATATATCTGGTAATGTTTACGGAGGAGAGTGTTGCTTCTGAGATTGGCTGTATTATTTTTTTGTTTTCTTTGAGTCCCTGTGATGCTTGGTGTATGTGAATAATTCAACATCAAGGTCACTTTCACTAATTTCACTGTTAAAACAGTAATTTCATAACAACACTTCAAATATATTGCAATTCAAGGCATCTTTAACCATGTAATTACAGTTTACTGTGTAAAATACGTTATTTTCACTTGGAATTAATTTTTGCTCTATTTTCTCTGAAAGGATGATTCAGTGAAAATGAAATCCAACGAATATATCTTTTTTCCCATATTTTACATACAACTTGCCAAAAAACAGTAAAAAAAATAAATTCCAGACAAAACACGGGAAAAAGTCTTTTCAGTGAAAATTAATTCCAGCTAAAATAAAGTATTTCACTGTACTTGTCTAAATCGAATAAACATTATATGCAAATATTTAATATGATGATGCCTTCCGTACAACCATTTATTTTTACTGGTATTTAATTTCACTGTTTTTGAGTTTTAAGTTCACAAACCTGTCAGGAAAACAATGAGCTCCAGTGTTGTTTTACATGTTCATGTGGATTTAATTTAGTGAATTTCATGTACGAGTGAAATCAAAACTCAGTGTATAATTAATGCATTTCCAGTATTGCTTGTTGCATTTTCTCATCCAGGATCTGAAAAACAAAAATGGGAAAATTCTTTGAAATTTGAGAAAAATTTCACCTTCATTCAAGAATATTTTGTAATAATGTCTGCTTGTATCATAATTTTGTCGAGTTGTTCTTAGTTTGTTTCAACACTTGTTATAATTCTGGCTCAGTTTATATGATTTCCATTTAATGCTTTTTGACTCCCATGTGCGAAGCACAAAATGGGAGTCTTTGCAGTTAGTGTGTCTGTATGTGTGTATGTGTGTATGTGTGTATGTGTGTATGTGTGTATGTGTGTGTGTATGTGTGTATGTGTGTCCGACTGTTCCACTGCTATCTCAAGAACCATACATCGGTTTTTGATGAAACTTGGTGCATAGATGCTCTGGGCCAATGCGCAGATTTGATTAGGTTTTGGTAAAAATCCATGCTCGTTAATTACCTAATTTGCATGATAATTAGCTAATTTTTAGCTGTTCTATGACTGTTCCACTGATATCTAAAGAACCACTCATTGGATTTTGATGAAACTTGGTACATAGATGCTCTGAACATATGCGCAGATTTGATTAATTTTTGGTAAAAATCCGTGCATATTAATTACCTAATTTACATGATAATTAGCTATTTTTTAGTGGTTCCATGACTGTTCCACTGATATCTAAACAACCACTCATTGGATTTTGATGAAACTTGGTACATAGATGCTCTGAACTAATGCTAGGTTTTGATTAGTTTTTGGTAATAATCCGTGGATACTAATTACCTAATTTGCATAATGATTAGTCAATTTTCGGTTTTTCCACTGATATCT